ATCGACCACAATATCACTACCGCCGGTGTTCTCATCTTCCACACCTTCTCTCCACTATAAACTCGCTCTGGGAGCGATCTTATGAAGAACATTTGGGATGGCTTCTCTGCTTTTTGCTTTACTACCGAGTGTCCTGGAAACTTGGCATTCCTATGTCTGCCCCCCCCCCATCCACGATTTCTGATCGTGGGCCTATAAATTCGCCGTGAGAGACAAAGCACATCATCTACGCAGGCACCTATCCCTTTCTTTCAGCCAAATCGTCGTGCTGTCTGCCCTCATAGTTGTTACTGTAAACCACTTGACTGACCCAATTCTTCTCTTATAGCGGCATGAAAACTTCTGCGCCTTCTTCTTAATCGCCAAGTGTAAATCACGACGTAAGAGCAGGCAGCTCACACCTCTTTTCGGATCCTTGCCGTTCTTCTAGCATTTTCACCTTGAGCACAATTTTTCGCAACAGAGAAATGGGGATGAACAGGGCGAGACTCCTTGAATAGAACTATTTCGAAGACAAGCAGCTGACACTTTAAAGAGACGAGCCTAGAAACGAAAAATGGGCGGGGACCCTAAATCCTGACAACTTCGCCCTGTATCTCATCCGTTTTCCTCTCCTGGGCTGCTATGCCTAACGTTCGAGTTTCTAGTTGTTGCGAGAATAACATTATGGGCAGTCATTGGCATCGTAGGGTGATTGTACTGCCGCAAAAAGAAGCAGTCTGTAATTTTCCAGTAAGAGCTATTAGCAGCGCCAACTTCTCGGGGTGCGACTGTGAAAAAAAAAACCCCCCCCGCCCCCCCCGCCCCCCCCCCCCCCCCCCCGCCCCCCCTTGAACTTATGCACTTTTTACTGTGCGACGACAATAACGGGCGAGCAACGAGCCGGCCGCGGGCCACCCTCCCCCCCCCCCCACCCCCCGCCCCCCCCCCCACCCCCACGCTGGCCGCCCGCCCGCCCCCGGCCCCCCCCCACCCCGCCCCCCCCCCGGGGAATTGGAGGAAACTGAGGGGGGATTCCAGGGTTTCCGGTTTGACCTACTTTTTGGATATCCATTCTTCCCGTTTTATGTACGTCAAGCCCTTCCCTTTCCAAACTAGGCGAGAGTTTCTCCAACGCCCTTCTATTCCACGTGGTGGCCCCCAATGCTGTAGCAGTACAGTTTTTCCAAGGTAGGGGCGGCGACATGTGGGGAGGATATTCTTCACGAGTTGCTCGATGTAACCGCCAGCGCTCACCTTCAGTCCGGGGTCCACGAAGAAAATATCGGTCTCTCCATTCCAGGTACGTCCGGTCCCCACCATCAACTGGCGCCTTGGCGACTGAGGTGAAGATGATGTCCTAGACCGTAGCGACGTTGACGGAGCTGCTCGATGTTGGAGGTCTTCCAGATTGAGAGTACTGGTCTCCAGGTAGCTATCCATGGGTGACTCCACACTAGAAGTTTCGCAGCTGTTTGGAGGTGACATGAATTCCAAAGGTCTTCTCCAGTCAGGCTGCGACTGGAGATGACCTCATATTTTGGTGTACATGAAGGTGATGGGCGAGGGCCAGCTCCTGCTTATCGAGGAACATCTTGGGTATCTTCCGCCCTGGTACTCGTATCCACGTCTTCTCTCTGGGCTGCGAAAACTTTGCTGATATGTGACTCGGTCGAAGTGACTTTTTTTGCCCCCCCCCTGTATATAATCCGCTAAGTTTGTCTGTTGGTGTGTGTGTGTGAATGTATGTTTGTGTGTCTGTATGTGTGTTTGACCGGAAATTCATAACTTCCTTCAAAACAGCGATAGTGCGCTCAAACTGATAAGTGATGTAGGAGGTCGGGCAGGAACACTATTGGTAGGTGGCAGGAAGTGATAAGAGCTGATAAGATAGCCCCAAAAATTCACAGCATAGTTGTAGCCACACTGGAAAATTGCCTCCAGCAAGTAATTCAGGGGTGCATAGGTAACATTAGTAGTGGGAGATAAGTTCAGGTCGTGTCCGACAAGGGCTTTTAGGAGTCCGTATATGGTCACATCACCATGGCCAAAGAAACTGTGGGCAAAGGCTTAGTGAGCCAAGATGTTTCTATCCCTTAGCGATATAGTCGGAATTGATTCGACCGCTAAACTCTCGAGTTTCGACAAAAAGTAAAAGTCCCAAAAGCTGCTTAAGGTATGTACTAGGATGTGAGGACATTTCACTCTCTGTCTGTTATTACCCCCGAAACCCTTTCAACCGCTGAGCTTTCCTTTTCCAACGAATGGCGAGTGTTTTCAAAAAGGTGATAAGCCCGGTCATTGGAATATTCATTAGAAGGGAGAAACACGATGAAATGGGCTGTATTCCGAAGCAAGGGGATTGGGCCAAGTGTTGTACTCAGCAGAGAAACCCCTCACCCCCCCCCTCAGTGATCAGTACCATAGGTGGTTTAACTATGCGCGCAGTATTTCGGGGTAGCCAAACTGGTTTAAAATATGAAGCGAAGAGATTGGTATGAAGCGGCTGCGGTGCTGAATGGATATATGAGTACATAGATGCAGCCGCACCTACCGGAGCGGTTATTTGCAATACGCCTACGGGAAACTCGTCCGAAATGCTTTCAAGAACGAAGGCTTTTCTTCGCAGTTTTGACCGTTTCACTTCGTTTTTTCGCCATTTTCCCACTAAATAGCGCCCTGCGAGCATTTTAGGCTGAGTACCAAATTATCGTGCCAACTGCCTTTAATGTAACTTCCTTTAAGGAATCATTTTGCAAATTCCGTAAACATATTTGAGCTCATGTTCTGCTCCTAAAAAGCGCTTATAGCAGTATACATTCCTAACTGAATGACAGGATCTACTGACCGTAA